CAGTATATTTTGTGCTTTCTGTTTGATGCAGTAGGTGGTGCTATAGCCTCCTTCTTAAATTTTCGTTATTCCTGTTTTGCTAAGGAATCTCGTGTTTACAGACCTCGGCAGCCAAATACGAAAGTTGCATGCACATGTTAATCAGAAGGGTGGTATGTTTCTTATGTAGTCATACAGTAGTCTTTGTATGGTTGTAGTCATACAAAGTTTTAAAAAAAAGCAGTGTCTGCTGTGCTATCTCAATAGCTTATCCATGGTGCTCTGTGAGTTTTTTTTAATGTTCATTTGTTAAAAAGAGAATGTGTGTGTGTGTGTGTGTGTGTGTATTGACAGTATTGTAACAGACATTGTAAGACATGTAAACTTAGAACATAAAACAAAACTTAACCCAAACCATCATAATTTCCTTTTACCAAAGCGATTGTTCTGGATGCAATCTATTCTTGGACGTTCTAGGGCAGACATTGAGTTCAGTGATTCATTTCCATGTATGCTTCATTCTGGGTTATGTAACAGGACCAAGCTCAGTGTATATACATGAATATTGAGTTGTAGAAGACTGATCTTTTGAGTGAGGCCTTGTTCACACCAAATGCAGAGCAGATCCAGTCAGGTTTCTGCACACGCAGTGCAGTGGGTTGTGCCGCGTTTTTGATGCGTTTTTGATGCGTTCCGGGCCGCTTTTGCTACAAATTTCTTTAAAGTTTTAACATGGGCTTTCAGGCACTTGCATGCGTTTTGCATGTGTTTTTGATGCGTTCCAGAGCAGATCCAGTGCAGGTAAAATAGTGCTTGCCGCAGTTTTTTCACCTGCTCTGGATCTGCACGGTGCGATGTGAACTGGAGCTCAAAATACCATAGGAATACATTGGACGAAGTTTTGATCCGGTCTGCACCTGCTCTGCTCTTAGTCTGCTCCCGCGCTTGGTGTGAACAAGCCCTTATACTTTCTTATAGGGCCTGTACACATTAAAGTGCAACTGAAACCAAACTTTTTTTATGTTTTAGTTTCTGGTAGAGTGGAGAAGGATTATGTGACCTGTGAGGTTTTTCTTGTTGTCTTTGTCCCCGTTAGGGGGACATCACACTGTTTACCTGATGAAGGGCAAAATTCCCTATGTGGTCCCAAAACATTGTCTGCTTGTGATATGATGTCAATAAAATGACGTCAATAAAAGACAAAGTTATATCAATGTTGGAGTGACTGACTTTTCCTTTTAATCGGTTAGGGAGATTTACCCTCTTATAACCCTCCCTAACTCTATCAAAAATGAAAAAAAAAAAAAAGGTTTTGGCTTCAGTTCTACCTTTTTAATCTTAATTTGTATTGTAATTTAGAATTGATGAATGTATTTTAGTAACATTGGAAAGAGCACTTGGTCATATGCAAATGCACCTCTTTGTGACCATGAGAATTATACTGCCTACCAGTAACACCATTTGCAAGCAGTTTATTTGTATAAAGAATTTCCTTCAATAAATGGGTAATGGTTAACCGTAAAAATAGCTAAGATAGCTATATGCCAAATATGGTTATTTAAGTTTTCAAGGGGGCTGTTCTGGTTGTAAAAGTTATTGCTGTTAATGTTAAATATCATGGGATATTATCTCTCTGTATATTACTGTTGCTTGTACAGGCTTATTCATTAACCCCTTCATGACTGAGGCCTTTTTTTCATTTTTTTGCATCCATGTTATATTCCACATTTTAGGCCTGAAAATGACTCTCCCTTGCTAGAGAGATTATCTTGCATCCTGTGCTGTGACCAATGTTCTCAACCGGACCGTAAAGGGATCAAGACAGCAATCAAAATCTTAACAGACTTCCGCTGCGCTACTAAAAAAAATAATGATTTTATGGCTATCTGTGTACCTCTTGGAAATTTTTCCTCACT